AGTCTGATTGCATTAAAACTCTAAAGGTGAGGGGTATGGTGTACAGAACAGTACTAAGCAATCAATAAAAAGTATATTTTCTAATAATATTCTGTAACATGGGAAAATGCTCTAGGGTTAGGCTGAGCAGGTTGTAAACCGCACCATGCTCAGCTTGTTTCAGAAAGAGGTAGGAGGTCTGAGTGGCTCCAGCAGAGTGATCCAGGGAGAAAGTGATTGGAGATGCAGGCAGAAAGGTAGCGGGAAACCACACTGTGTAGGGCTTGTAAGTGACAGGAAGGACTTTGGCTTTTACTTTCATTGAAATGGGAAGCCACTGGGAGGTTTAAGCAGAAGCATGACCTGACCTAAGTTTCCTTAAGGATTTTTCTGGCTGCCATGTTGAGTGAGAATAGACTGTAGCGTGGCAGTGGTGAGAGCAGAGAGACCATTCAGGAGGAAATTGCAAGTCTGGGCAAGAAGCGATGGTGACTTGACCAAGATTGTAGCAGTGAAGATGGATTTCACTTTGATAAGATATATTTTTGAAGGATTGGAACTAGATTAGTCCATGGGATTTGCCAACAGATCAGATGCAAGATGGGTGTGTGTAGTGGGAAGCAGGAAGGAGGGAAGGAAAGAAAAGGATGGGGGTGGAATCGAGGATGTCTTTGAGATGTTGGTCTGAGCAACTAGAAGAGGGTTACCATTTTAATGAGATTGGGAGGAATGCAGGAGTTGGAAGTTTGTGGGGAGAATCAAGAGTTCATTTTTATCTATGCAAAGCTGGATAAATAAATAAAGAATTTGTTTTTAGATGTGTTAAGTTTGAGATACTGATATAGATAGCCAAGTAAAAATGTCAAGTAGGCACTGAATTTAAAAGTTTGAAGTTCAAGGGAACGTTTGATCTGGAGATAATAAATTGGGAATTATCGATATATGGTTTGTATTTTAAATCATCGGACAGGGAATAAAGTCATCTAGGGTGTGAGGATAAAGAGAGGACTTCCAAAGATTGACACTGATATTTTGAGGTTGAGAGATAAGGAACCAGCAAAGGAGGCCAGGAAAGAGTGACAGAGGAAGAACCAAGACCACCTGGTATCCTGGAAGCCAAGTGAATAGAATATTTCAAGGAGGGAGTAATCAATTGACTTGAATGTGTTGACTGAGAAGTCAGTCAGGGAAGAATAAGAACTAACCGTTAGCTTTGGAGGTGACCTTAATCTGAGTGGCCCACATGGAGGTAACCTGAATGAGAATTGTTTTGGTGAACCTGCTAGGAGGATAGCCTGATTAAAATGGGCTCAAGAGAAAATGGAGAAGAAAAATGGAAACAAGTTTGGAGAGTTTTTGTAGTAAAAAAGAAACAGACATACAGTAGTATGTGGAGGGAAACTTGGGAGCAGAGATGGAGCTTTTATTGTTGGGGTTGTATTAAGATTTAAGCAGCATGTATATGTATGATGCTGGTGCAAATGACCCAGAAGAGAGGGGAAAATTGATAATGCAAGAAAGAGGATAAAATGCCTAGAGCCGTACCTCTGAATAGGTATAAGAAGACAAGACCCAGTGCACAAGTGAAGAGGTTTGCATGAATAATTCATTCTGACAAAGGTTACAAGCAAGATGCAGCAGGTCAGTAGATACAGTGGCAAAGAGTAATGATTTTCTCTTTTTTACATAATTCTCTGGTCATAAATTTATTTATAGAGTAAGAACAGTGATATTAGCTTTTTTTGCCTTGTTTTGAAGGTCATATAAAATAATGTTTATCAGTTGTTTTGTGAATTACATAGGGTTATACATTCTAAGTTTTTACCTAAAGGGTAAGTTTACCCCGTAGCCTAAGGATAAAGACCTGACTCTAACAGTACAAGATGCTGTGGGGGTAGGGATGGAAAGAGAAGCCTATAACAGGAAGTAGGTCTCTGAGCTTAAGAAAACTTAGAGACTAAGATAAATAATTCTAAAAAATATTGAAATTAAGACTAGTTGGGGTGGAGCACAGTGGCTCATGCCTGTAATCCTAGTACTCTGGGAGGCTGAGGCAGAAGATTGCTTGAGCTCAGGAGGTTGAGACCAGCCTGAGCAAGAGTGAGACCCCGTCTCTACTAAAAAGAGAAAAACTAGCCAGGTATCCTGGCACATGCCTGTAGTCCCAGCTACTTGGGAGGCAGAGGCAGGAGGACTGCTTGAGCCCAGGAGTTTGAGGTTGCAGTGAGCTATGCACTCTACCCCTCTACCCAGGGTGACAAAGTGAGACTCTGTCTCAAAAAAAAAGAAAGACTAGGTGGCACTGATTACCTATAAATAATACTATTATAGATGATCCAAACTAATAGAAAACCCAAATGTCACCTTTGATTCTGACTTTGAAATATCTTATGGGTTTTTTATTTTTTTTTTTTGGCTAGCAATTTATATTTATAAATATGTTTCAATTAATTTGATATTAGAACTAATTTGTGGCTACCTTGTAAACATTCTCTACCAAGAACCAAATCAGGAGCAAGAATGAATAACTAGGCCGGGTGTGGTGGCTCACACCTGTAATCCTAGCACTCTGGGAGGCCGAGGCGGGCAGATTGTTTGAGCTCAGGAGTTCGAGACCAGCCTGAGCAAGAGCGAGATACCGTCTCTACTGAAAATAGAAAGAAATTAATTGGACAACTAAAAATATATAGAAAAAATTAGCCGGGCATGGTGGCGCATGCCTGTAGTCCCAGCTACTCGGGAGGCTGAGGCAGTAGGATTGCTTGAGCCCAGGAGTTTGAGGTTGCTGTGAGCTAGGCTGACGCCACGGCACTCTAGCCCGGGCAAAAGAGTGAGACTCTGTCTCAAAAAAAAAAAAAAAAAAAGAATGAATAACTAACAGTGGTAACAGTATCCCAGTGCCAGGTGACATTTAATGAGCACTTTACAGTTTGCTAGGCACTCTTATAGATGCTTTGTGTGAATTATCTTATTAAGAAGTGAACATGATGTTCATGGAGATAAAGGTTGAAAATATGTAATATGTGGTTAAATTGAACGTTGATTGTATAATAGGGATGTAATTAAGTAGATGATGATATAGTTTGTAACTGACAGAGCAGCTTTGCTCATTCATCCATTTTTTATTATATGCTAGATTCTGCTAGATGAGAATACAAAGTATGTAGTATCCCAGCCCTCAGGTTGTAGTTTAGTGTATTACTCTGGAGGTTAAACTTTTTTTTTTTTTTGAGACAGAGTCTCACTGTGTTGCCCGGGCTAGAGTGCCGTAGCGTCATCCTAGCTCACAGCAACGTCAAACTCCTGGGCTCAAGCGATCCTCCTGCCTCAGCCTCCCGAGTAGCTGGGACTACAGGCATGCGCCACCATGCCCGGCTAATTTTTTCTATATATTTTTAGTTGTCCAATTAATTTCTTTTTAATTTTAGTAGAGACGGGGTCTCGCTCTTGCTCAGGCCAATCTCGAACTCCTGAGCTCAAACAATCCGCCCACCTCGGCCTCCCAGAGAGCTAGGATTACAGGCGTGAGCCACCACGCCCGGCCTGGAGGTTAAACTTTAACATAGAGTTTCTTGTTACAGTATCCTCAAACATGGTATCTTATCAGTGTATTTTTGAGTGAGGACTCAAAAATCCATCCGATCAGTTTCCTAACATGTCTATCCCAAGGCCCTGCATTCAACAGACAGCAAAGTATTAATCATTTGGATGAATGAATGAAAGTAACACAAACTAATACATTGAATGAGAGACTTCAAGGTAATATTCATTAACTACAGCAAAGGACTAAAATTAAAGGGATGGAATTTAATAAGAACAACTGTGAATACTGTACCAACTATACAAGCTTAGTTTAGAGGAGATAAAACATAAAGACTTGCCGATTTTCATTACTTGAACATTCAGTTTGAATCTACATGGTGTTGTGGCTTCCCCAAAAAGTTACAGAGCTGGTAGTTCAATCTGTCTCATCAGACCGTACCTAGAAGACTGAATTTTGATGTGGCACTATCTTTTTGAAAGAACATTGTCAAAGTGGAATGTACCTGGTAGGCAGTGACCAGCATGGTCCTAATGCTAAACTTCAGTTATTTAATATAATTCACTCCTAACTCCCCTTTCCCAATTGTGGTTCCAGAGACAGGGAGGCTTATTTTCAGCTCATTCCTAAATACATATTTCAAATATGTTCAACAGTGTAACAATGAAATGGGCCGTATTCTGCAGTTAGCGATTGACTTGTCAAATAGGGTACTTAAGAGGGACTGAATAAATAAGAATAGTGTCATAGAAGCAGCTTGACTAAGGTGCCTCTGATGTCTCTTTGGTGTGTGATTCTGTGAACCGTGGGCATTGCTCTCATAAATAGAATTGGGACCTTTCAGATTAGCATTCATACTTCACCTATCTCATACCACTTTCTTTCCACTGTAGCAATGAGTATTACCCAGCAGATCTGCAAGTTGCTCCAACCCAGGATGTGCGGAGAAAAGGCAAAGTGGTTGCAGCAGAGGAAATAGAAGAGGAACCTGCTGCTGGAGATGATGAGGAGTTGGAGGAAGAGGTGGTGCCCCAAGAAGAATCCTCACAGAAGAAAAAGACAAGAAGAGCTGCAGCAAAGTAAGTTCAGCATTGCGGAAAGCTCAGAGATCCACAGTTCTAGAAGGAAGAGGAAGAGATCTCTTATAGCCTAAATGTGAAGTAGCCTTGTACAAGACATTAATAATTATTTATATGAGTGTTACATGTTCCTGGGATTTTCTTTTACAGCCCAAAGAAACTGTCAGTCTTGTGAGTTTTTTAGGTTGGTGACCTACTATTAGTATTTTTTTCTTGTTTAGCCATGGAATGTTAACTTTGAGGGGACTTTTAGGATCATCTAATCTTTTTATAGATGAGAGCTTTGGAGCCTGGAGTGTTTAAATACTCTTTAACTTTTGTTCTTTTTCATAACATGAGAGCACTGTGTTTGTGTGCTAGGAGAACACATAATGGAACATCCTTTCTCTTATAAATATGCATGTCAGCACTTTTACTCTGCCTTTTGACTTGCCTCCTCCTGGTTACTTTTTCCTCCTACTGTTTTACTCTCTTGTTTTCTTAGTTATTCATTTACCTAAATTGTTACAAACCTAAAAAAAAGACATGATCATGCTTTCAGAAGTTACTTCAGCTGACTTGCAGATTGTCTAAATCGAGGTGTCTGAGATCCACTGGATTGGTGCTGCTATGTTACTTTAACACTTTAGATCTTAATCTGACGTGCCCATTTGTTGAGTATTTCTCGTGAGCCATTTATTCATCCATCCATTCAGCAATTGTATTGAGTGCCTTTAAATAAGTTACGGGTGGAAGGAAAGAAGTATGTAATTCTACCACAAAGACCCAGGGAAGACTTTTTGCAAAGGAGAGGGCAACTTTGATGCTGAAAGATGAAAGTTTGCCAGAAAGCTAGGACAAGGAAGGCCTTGCCTGCTAATAGAAATATGAATAAAACACAGAGACAGGAAAGATCATGGCCAAGCTTCATAGGACTATACGGTAGTCCCCCCCAATCCACAATTTTGCTTCATGTGGTTTCAGTTATCTGCAGCCAGCCACAGTCCAAAAATATTAAGATATTCTTCCTTCTTAGTAAGCAAGAGCCATAGTTACCTAAACCTGGGCCTCTGTTGCCTGACACCAGTATTTTTGTTATATGAAAGCAAGGAAGAATATATTCTACTACTTTCCTGTCTGCTACGTGGAACCTAGACAAGGAATAATTCCAAAAATCATCTGAGTTCAACTTTGGAATGTATTACTGTTTGGGTTACTTTCTTTCTAATTTTAGATTAATTTAAGCCATTCTGACCACCTCCTGAATGATTTTCTGGGGTGAGGAGCCTGGACTTAAGGGAGAGGCCTACCTGAGATTTGAGATTTCTGAAAAATTTCCTAAATACAAATAATTAAGACTTATTTATGTAATTAACAGTGAACCTGTAGACAAAGTGTTTAGAGTACTTGTCATAGAGAATGAAATTGATAGTAGATACTATCAATTCAAGAAAATAATCTCTGTTCTTTCATTGTGTAATACTCTCTATTTTGTTTTCATTTAGGCAGTTAATTGCTCATTTGCAGGTTTTCTCTAAATTTTCAAATCCACGGGCCTTATATCTGGAATCCAAATTATATGAGTTATATCTCCAGGTAAGTGAAATAAATTCTCGGCACTATAATTCTTTGTGAATTTTTCTCTATCATTTTCTTTGCCAAAGTAACTTCTAGGCTTTCAATAATTATTTGTTCAATAAGGGCCCATGTCTACATTTTAAATACTAATTTTTTTAAAAATTCATAGACATATTTTCTTTTTAAAGGCATTTTGGGTGGCATAGATCAGCTGTATCAACAGGATAATAGCAAAGCACAAATTATATCATGGGAATTAGCTTTTAGAAGAGGTGGGGGTTATACCAAAAACAGTTGGCTACTTTTTCTTTCTAGTTAAGTCTGCCTTCATGGAGGGCTAGGATTTCAGGATCTATTAGATTGAGTGAAGACAGATGGTTGGAATAATAATCTATTGCAGTCATAATGTATGACCCTGAATTTCAGAAAAGGTTGCAAAAAAAATTTAATGTCAGAAGCAGAGTAAGCATTGACTGTCATTCTAAGCTATCTGGGGAAATGAAATTTTCTTTTTTCATTTGGATGTAAAATGTTGTAGGTGAAACTTGTATCATTTTAGCAGAATTTATCCATGTTCTGCCCATAAATTCTGATAGACTTTGTTTATAAAGCAGAGCTCAAAAGTCTATTGTCCATAGGAAGCAAAGTCCTTTTTTCTTTTTTCTTTTCTTTTTTAGAGACAGGGTCACACTCTGTCACCCTGGCTGGAGTGCAGTGGCCCGTTTATAGCTCACTGTAACCTTGAACTCCTGGACTCAAGGGATCTTCCTATCTAAGCCTCCCGAGTAACTGGGCTACTGGTGCACACCACTGCACCTGGTTAATTTCATTTTTTTGTAGAGACGGGGTCTCGCTATGTTGCTTAGTTAGATTGTCTTGAACGCCTGGCCTCAAGTGATCCTCCCGCCTGAGCCTCCCAGAGTGCTGGGATTATAGGCGTGAGCCACCACTCCTAGCCAGGAAGCAAAATTTCAAACTTACTAATCGTAGAGGCCTCACAGCCAAGTCATCTTTCCTGGCATCTTGTTGACTGCTGTCACCATCATAGGATAAAAGATTTTCCTCATTACATGACCAACCCAGTTGGCTTAAATCCGGATTCACATACAGAATTGGCCTCAGCCAAAAAACTGATAGACTCCAGGGAGGGTCTGTTATCTTGAGAAACAGGGCCATGGGATGCAGATTGCAGTTTCCTTTCCATTTTTTCTTTACATATGTTCTATTCATCCTCCTTTACTTCCAGGAAAATATAAGGCTGTTGTCAGGAATCATCTTTAACTCTTATCTAAATATTTAGAATTTAGGAAATCCAATTTAGCAAATTAACACAAGTAAATTGGTATCCCATGGCACATGTATATATGACTTCATTAACTTATTCTGTAAAATATTATTCTTAGTTGTTGCTACACCAAGATCAAACGGTGCAAAAAATAGCCTTGGATTGCATAATGACATATAAACATCCTCATATCCTCCCTTACAGGTAAGTTACTTGAAGCTTAAAGAAATGTTATTTCTTTGGCTGATTTTTTTCTTTCTACATAAGATCCCCTTCTAGAATAATTTCTTCAAGGCCTGGGAAGGTTCCCTTATTTCTAAGGCTATCATATTGCTGTTTCCAGGCATGAAATGAAAACTGGAAGTATGTTTGTTAAGAGTTGTTTTCCATAGATAATAAAGTAGAAAAGAAAATATTAATTTAAAAATATGTGTTGTGAAAGTTATATCATTTCTCTCTCCTTGCTAATGCCATAAAATCTTGGTGGTTACTCAGGGAATCATAATCACTCTAAGAACTAAAGAAAGCTTTTATGTAATGCTCCTTAAACAGCTGAATTATGGACTAAATCTAATCTCTTCTAATCTGTTTAACCTTTTGAAATTTGAAAACCTGTCATTTTGGAAGAAATTTTTTTGTGAGGATTTTCTTTTATAGATGTCAACTGCAATATGAATTATATTATTACCCTATGTATGTATTATTCTACTCTTGCGTTTTGAAAAAGTACTGTTTTTAAAAGTGTACTGTTTTAAAAAGTGATGATTTGTACTGTTTTCTATTTTTGAAGGGAAAACTTACAAAGGTTGCTTGAAGACAGAAGCTTTAAGGAAGAGATAGTGCATTTTAGCATTTCAGAGGATAATACCATAGTAAAGACAGACCACCGAGCAGATCTCTTTCCCGTTCTGATGAGGTATTTATATGGTTTAAAAACTGATTTTTTAAAAAGTTAATCACAAACACAGTTATGAGTATAGTATGATTCTTTCAACAATTATAATAAAATATTTCATTTTATATTTTTTTATTGCTTTTTTTTTTTTTTTTAACTGGACCTTTTGGGGAAGTCAAATTGTTATAGGGACTAATTTAGGGTATTTTGTTCCTAACAAGAAGAAAAATCTTACCATGATATTATTTTAATAATAATGTTAAAATTAAATCTGGTATTTCCCTACGTTTCACTGTTGAGATATAGTGGAAATAATTCACCCCAGTGTCTAAATATCATGTAATATTTAGCGATATTACTATCTTTAAATTATAAATGATGGAGCATAAAGATGACCCATAATTAATAGAAAGATCATATATGTTGAGTATAAAGAAAAATGAAACTTGGATCTTTCAGCTCACCAGCCCTACAATGATGGGATTTAGAAAGGTCACAGGACTGGGATTTAACAGACCTTTGCTTGTCGTTCAGCTCTGTGACCACATAGTTGTATAACTTGGGGGCAAGTCTTTTAGATTCACTGGGCTTCGGTGTCCTTAACAGGAGCTGGATCAGATACATTCTGGGGTCTCTGCCAGCTCTGATTTGATGGCCCATTTATAGCCAGCATTAAGAACTTCACTATAATGGACATAAAAATATTTGAATAAATAAGTGAGTGAATATATTAAATTATAATTATTGGTGGATTACAGAAACAATACAAATAGAAAGTAGAAATCATCTTATATCCAAACACTCAAAAATAATCACTGTTAACGTTATTATCTATTAAAAACAGTAGTAAATACCAACCATGCTAATAACGTATTTTAAATCTCTAAAAGTAAAAAGCAAATGGTTGTATGAAGTCCAGAGTAGTTAAATACAAACTACCAAAAACCGTCTAAATACACACACATTTTTTTTTATTTTTTTTAAGACAGGAGGTCTCACTTTGTCATCCAGGCTAGAGTGCAGTAGCCCAGTCATAGTTCTGTGCAGCCTTAACTCCTGGGCTCAAGAGATCCTCCCACCTCAAGCTCCTGAGTAGGTAGAACCACAGGCATGTGTCACTACGCTCAGCCAATTTTATTTATTTTTTGTAGAGATGGGGTCTTACTATGTTGCCCAGCTGGTCCCAAACTCTTGGCCTCAAGCAATCCTCCCACCTCTGCATCCTAAAGCCCAAAGCACTGGGATTATAGGCATGAGCCACTGCACCCAGCCATACACACAATTTTTTAAAAGAAAATTGAGATTATATTGCATAAATTTATTACATATTTTATAACCTTTTTTCACTTGATACATTAACAAGAATTTTTTGGATCATGAAATGTTTCAAAATATGATTATTCATCATAGATATGCCATAATTCACTTAACCAAGCTCCTTTTGTTGAGTGTCTTGGTTGCCTCTAGTTTTTGTTGTTATTTGTTTTGTTTTTTGCCAAATAGATAATCTTACATTGATTATTGGAGTCTTTGACCAATTTTTTAGAGTAGATTCTTAATAGGAAAATTGATGAACATTTGAAAGTTTTTGATATATATTGCCAAATTGTCCAGAACTATTTTACTTTTTGACAGTTTTCCTTTTTTTTTTAATTTATTTTTTTAATTTTTGTTTTATTTTTAGTGTTGCCAAATCACTTCACCTAAGAACAGAGTTTTATTTTTCTATATGAACCTTTGACCTAATCTCTGATGATTTACTTAGAATAGATATCTAGAAGAGAGAAACATGGACATTTTACAATTTCTGATGCGAATTGCCCATTTACTTTCAAGAAGTTTGAACCACTTTATATTCCTAGCAGCAGTTGAATGCCTATTCCCCCACATCATTCCAGTACTGACTGTTGTTTGTTGTGGTAATTATTTGTTTTAATTCTTCCTAATTTGTTGGTGAAGAATGGTATCATGTATAACTTCACATTTTTTAGGTTTACTAATTAAATTAAGATGGACTGTTGAAAAGATTGTAGGTCGTTTGTGTTTCTTTTCTCATGAACTGTTTTTTTTAATGTCTGAGAACTTTTATTTTCTGAAACCAGGTGAATGATATTTCTGTCTGTTCTCATTCTTTTTGTTTTAATTTGATTATTTTATTCATCTGGAATTTATTTTGATGTATGAAATGAAATAGTTTTTTTTTTCCTAAATTTTTTTTTCTAAATTTTTTTTTTCTAAATAGTTATCCAGTTGTCTCAAGACCATTTACTAAAAACAAAAATCCAAAGTTCCTTTACTAATTCGAGAGCCACTTTTAATATGCATAAATTTAATACTTATGTGTAATTGAGTCATGTATGGGCTTTTGATACTTTTGCATTAATTTTTCCTGGTCCAGTTCCATACTGGTTTGTTTATTATAACAATAATATTAATTAGTGGCTTAAATGCATTCTAGTATATAGCAAAGGAAGTCATCCCATTATTCCTTTCTTTCCAAAATATTTTGGTTTTTCTAGAATCTGGGTGAACTTCAGAACATTTACTCAGGTTCTCCCAAAATAATCCCCCTTTTTGATTTGGGTAGAAATGGCATCAGTATATTTCCTCATTTATTCACATCTTCTTTTTGTAGTCTTTCAATGAAGTGTTTTAATTTTCTTGGCTTTTCATTTTACTCCTACATTTTGTTGTCGTAGATGGAATTTTCCCTCTTAAATTTTCTAATTCATTTTTGCTATATAACTAATTATAGTGTATAAAAGCTATTGATCTTTGCATTAATTATTTAGCCATCCACATGACAAAACTTTCCTATTAGTTTTAGTAGTTTTCATCAGATTTTCTTGTATTTTCTACATTGAAAAAATCTAGTAAACAACAGTCATCAGATTGTGTTAGTCCCCTAATTAAAAACCCTTTGACATCCCATTTTCCTCAGAATAAAATAGACAATCCTTGCTATGCCCTGCAGGACCTAATATGGCAGCCCCAGACTACTGCTCTAACCTGTCTCTTCCCCTTTCCCACCTCCGTCAGAACCCACTTTAAATTCTTTGGACTCGCTCGTCCCTCTGCTTGGAACATATGACAGCTAGCACCTCCTCTTCATGCAGCCTCATCTCTAGTATTACGTTACGTATCAGAAATGCCTTCTTTGACCACCTCTATATAAAATCACACCTTCCTCTTTCGCTCTCTAGTCCCTTACCTCACTTTAACTTTATCTTCCTTACAGTACTTCTCATCCAACATAGTCTCTTTCTTATTGCTTTTCTCTCCTGCTGCAAGGTAAAGGCCATGACCCTTAATAAATATTCATCGAATTAATTTTGTGTTCTCTTTTATGATATAAAACGACTTTTTTTTCTGTTTATTAATCAACCTGTTGCGTACATAGCCTAGAAGAATGAATTGGTAGTAGTGGTAGTGATTATCTTTGTCTTGTGACTGGATTTAACAGCAGTGCTTCTAGAGCAGTTGTTCAGTCGTCTGCTCGTACTTTTTTATACTACTAAGACATTATTTTTTTTCACTGTGTGACATTTGTCCTGCCAAGGCAAACGCAATGGTGGGTAAAACTCCTGGTGCCTTGGCACATGAATCAGGACAGTGGTACCAAACTGTACTAGTCATTCTTCATTGCCACATACTTAGAGTTATTTTTATTAAAAAAAAAAAAAAAGCTACTTTTACTTAATGTCCTTAATGAATCTTGACCCTGAGTACATTTCTTTTTTACTATTCTGTATGAAAAATTGAGGAGTATGCATAAATTACTTCTGCTGCGCATTGGTTGTCTTGAGGAATGGCATTTGAGTGAGTATTTGATTTACATGCTGAACTACTGACTTTTTTCACAAAACAACATTTTTTTCTGGGAAACTGATGGACCTTGATTCTTTTCAAACTTGGGTATTTCACAGGAATTTTCTTGAACACGAATGCAGTTAGTCTGCCACTTCAAGGAAAACAACCGCTAGCATTTGTTTCCAGTGACTAAATTTTAGCATTCAAGTGAAAATTAGGGTTTTGGAAAAGTTTTGTCTGCTACCACGAACTTGATAGCTTCCTAATACTAAGACTCTTCTGGTGAGATGGGTGGTGATATTAACAAATGTTAAGAAACATATTTCTTTTTTTGGTTTATAATGAAGTGTATCAGCATTTGGCATCTCTGCATAACTCAGTAAAACAATGTTTCCCAAGTAACTTATGCACGTTACAGAATCATGTATGAATAAAAGATCCATTCAAAGTGCAAAATGGACAAAGGGATCTGTGTTCATCAAGTGTGTTGATAGGGTTTCCGATTCCACAAGGCAGTTACCCCTTAAATTTGTTGAGGTTTTATATAGTATCAAAGTGGGATGTGGGATATCCATGATTATCTGAAAGTTTTAAAAATACTTCTCCCTTCTCCATCTACATGTCTGTGTAAGACTAGATTTTCTTCAACCCTGATATATTAACATTACAATAGATTGAATGCAGAAGCAGATATGAGAATCCACTTATCTTCTATTAAGCCAAACAAAAATAATAAATAAAACAATGCCACTAGTCTCACTAATTTTGGTGGGTAGTGGGGGGGGGAGATTTGGAAAATGTAATTATTTTTCACTAAAATATATTCTTTAACATGTAATAAGTTTATTGTTAATATTTTTAAATGAATTAATAAACCAGTATTTTTAATTCCTCAGTTTTAGTTTCTAACACAGTAACTATCGATAGTAGATAAAACTCACATATACCAAAGCTCTTTGGAGACCTCCATAATTTTTAATAGTGTAAAATGGTCCTAATATCAAAAAGTTTGAAAGCCACTGTTTTTGAATTCTGAATAAGGCATTAAGTTTTGTCGTGTTAAGAAAGTAGCTTTTATTATTATTTAGGATTTTATCAGGAATGGATGTTGACTATTATATAGAGTGCCTATTGCACATATATTAAAATGATCATATTAACTTTTTACCATGAAATATTGATCTATATTAATCTAATAGATTTTACTAATGGCTATTTCTTGTATTTCCTGGGGTAATCTTTATTTGATATTAGTGCAGCACTGGCTCCCGTGGTTAGAAATGTGTTTTGTTGTTTATAAGCAAGATTGATTTGTAGTTTTACTTTTGTTCCTTAACACTTCTCCATATCATGGTTGTACCATGTGCGACATCACAGCCAGCTCGCATAGCTTGGTTTTTTTGTTTTTTTGTGTTTTTTTTTTTTAAATAATTGTTGTTGATTGTTTCAATGTCTGTGTTAAATATCTAATTTCAGATTTCATTTTTCCATGTTTTGTGGTATATCCATTTAAATCTGTTGAGTTGCTCTTTAGGAAGACAAAACAACTTGTGTTATGTTTTAGAATTAATGTGCAAACAAATAACATTATTTTGACTTTGCAGAATTTTGTATGGGCGAATGAAGAATAAGACTGGGAGTAAAACTCAGGGGAAATCTGCTTCAGGCACCCGGATGGCCATCGTTCTGCGGTTCCTGGCTGGGACCCAACCTGAGGAGATCCAGATATTCTTAGACCTGCTCTTTGAACCTGTGAAGCACTTTAAGAACGGTAGCTATCAACCACCTCTCATTCCAGATAAGTGTTATCTGCCCGGGATTTCTCACGTCTCAGGCTAGGTTTCCCATGCTCCTGGACATCTTTCTAATGGGGTTGTTCCTCCCAACCTTAATGGGGGTCTTTTTGCTGAAGTTCAGTTCATTTTAAACTTTAATTGAATTAGATGAGGTTCACAATTGACCCTAGGGATTATCAGCACCCTTGTGTTAGTAAATCCCTGGTTAAAAGATGTATCATTTTTGTTGTAATTATTTTAATTATTAATTAATTTAATTATTCAAGTGGCATTTAGGCCACTTGAAAAATGGTGAATACTTATATAGTTCAAACAGTAGATTTCTTCTAAGAAATTCAAAGCATACTGCAAAATTAATCTTGATTGTTTTGGCATTCATTCATTCACTGAGGCTTTTATCTATTGAGTAACGATTTATTGAATACCTCCTGTTCCCCAGACACTCTGCTAAATTGAAAATAGAAAAGTGAGGATAGACTAGGCACTGTGGCTCACACCTGTAATCCCAGCACTTTGAGAGGCTAAGGCAGAAGGATGACTTGAAGCCAGCAGTTCAAGACCAGCCTGGGCAACATAGTGAAACCCTGTCATTGCAAAAAAAAATTTTTAAAAATTAGCTCGGCATAGTGGCACATGCCTGTGGTCCTGGCTACTTGGGAGGCTGATATTGGAGGATCACTTGAGCCCAGGAGTCCAGGTTATAGTGAACTATGATCATGCCACTGCATTCCAGCCTGGGCAACAGAGCGAGACCCTGTCTCTTAAAAAAAAAAGAGAGAGAGAAAGAAGTGAGTATATAATCTCTGCCCTCAACTTCACAATTGAGATGAAGTAGATGTATTAGTTATACAATGAACTATGATGCTGTGGTATGTTCTCTGTTATTCAATGTTAGTAATTATTAATAATAATGGCTAACATTTACTGAATGCTTACTTTATGCCAGACATTATGACAGGCCTATTTATATACAACTCAGTTGACCCTTCAAACCACCAACCACATGAGCTATCATTGTTTGATTGTCTACATTTTACAAATGAGGAAATTTAGGCTTAGAAAACTAAGTATTTTGCCCATGGCCATTCAGCTGGAAAGTGGTGGAATTAGGATTCAAACCAAGACCTTCTTGACTAATAAGACCTCTGCTCTAGTTTCACAATTGCTTTGCTTTGCTTTAGCCAAACACAGAGATTTATTTATAAGGTAGTCTGTTATATTTGTTTTGTATTTTTTCTATGATAATAGGTCCAGCTGTTTCCATTCAGTACAATATCGCCCTATAAAGAAGATTGGCTCGGGCCGGGCGCGGTAGCTCACGCCTGTAATCCTAGCTCTCTGGGAGGCTGAGGCAGGCGGATCGTTCTGAGCTCAGGAGTTCGAGACCAGCCTGAGCAAGAGCGAGACCCCCTTCTCTACCAAAAATAGAAAGAAATTAATTGGACAGCTAAAAATATATATAGAAAAAATTAGCCGGGCATGGTGGCGCGTGCCTGTAGTCCCAGCTACTAGGGAGGCTGAGACAGTAGGATCGCTTGAGCCCAGGAGTTTGAGGTTGCTATGAGCTAGGATGACGCCACGGCACTCGCCCCAGGCAAGAGAGTGAGACTCTGTCTCAAAAAAAAAAAAAAGAAGATTGGCTCCAGTGAATACAAATGTTTTCATTCGGTGTATAGCACCATTGTAGGAGAGTGGGTATAAGTGATACTCTTAGGGCTCGACCATTGAGGTGTGTGAATCAGTAAGTTTATGATATCATGTCAGATGGTTTGAAATAAAACTCAGGCAATAACAATTCACATCTTTTCAGTTAATTCTGAAATCAGTATAGCAGCAGCTGTTTATAAGGTACTATTGTTTTATCTATTAACCAGGGGTTATAAGAAAAATAAAACATTTAATTCTCAGCCTTTAAGAGCTTATAATGCAGCAAGGCACTTTCTGTGAAACCGCCGAACTCAGCATAGCTCAGTGAAAGATGAGAAAAAGAAAAATGTGTGGAAAGTTGCCAGATGCAATAAAAGACTGTTAATAACTCAGGTTTCGAGTAGTATACAGAAATTGGATTAGAATTGGGCTTAGTGACTTAGCTCTATCCCAAATTTCTTACCCTCCTTCATCCCTCAGTCTCCTCACCTGTAAGTGGGAATAGTAAAACTCGCCTTGCCTAGCTCACTGAACAGTGGGTAAGAACCAAAAGGAGATAATATATGAGAAAAGTACAGTATCATCCATAAATCATTGTATCAATAGAAAATACTGTATTATTGAGGGAAATCGAAAGAAAAATATAAGTCATAATAAACTAGCATTTCATTTTCCATGACATCTCTTTCTCTTTGTTTTACCAGGAGAGTGCCATTCTGCAGTCATTCAGGCAGTAGAAGATTTGGATTTGTCTAAAGTTCTTCCTTTGGGTCGTCAGCACGGTATCTTAAATAGCCTTGAAATAGTATTGAAGAACATTAGTCATCTGATCAGTGCGTACTTACCGAAGATTTTGCAGATACTGCTCTGTATGACAGCAACTGTGTCACACATTCTGGACCAGCGAGAAAAAGTGAGAGATTAACTATCGATGCTTTCTTTCTTCTTGGGCTAGTAGGAGTCTGTGTTTTACTTGGGAATTGGGTTGGGCCTGAATTACTAACATCCTTCCAGGTTAAATCGTTACATAACCTCTTTAAAACAATCTTCCATGTATGAGAATCTCAATTGTTATAAATACTTATGTATGACTAGAAAATGCGGATCGTATCAAGTGTATATTTTTAAAGGGGGTGGAAGAGTAGTGAGTGGGTTAGTTGTATATACTTCTCAGAAACCCAAGGCCGGGGTGCTTGAGCTGACGTTTTGTAGATTTTAATTTCAGGAGCCTAGAGGTGTAAGATATCTTCCAACTCTCATTTCTCCAGAATAGTTAGAGAATGAATAGACCAATATTATCATCATCCTTGTTATTTTGATACAGAGTTGCCAAGAACTCTTTGTAAAGTAAACGCTTAGGTACAATAAGTACAATGTTTTAAATAAATATAAGCAGCAAGATCCAGCAGGACAAGTTAGCTGGCCAACTGCCAAAGGATGCTCAGTGAATATTTTCTGAATTGTATTCAAAACAGTGTATTTATGTTCTGTTGAAACAGGTCCTTGGACATGAATGTACTCTTTGGAGTTTAGAGAAATAGTCTATGTCTTTATGAACTAAAGGCTTCTTGGAGAAAACGGGACTTGAGTAAAGGTCCAGACTCAGATTTCTGCTGTTGACTGTCAGTTAATAACAAATAGGCATAGTTAGTTTTAATTTGACTAAAATTCATTTCATTTGGTTTATGGATATGCCCAGTGAACTGCCTTCACATATGGTTATGATAAGTGAAAACCGACAGCCAAATTTTAGGCAGCCTTTTTTTTTTTTTTTTTGAGAGACAGAGTCTCGCTCTGTTGCCCGGGCTAGAGTGCCATGGCATCAGCCTAGCTCACAGCAACCTCGAACTCCTGGGCTCAAGCAATCCTCCTACCTCAGCCTCCCAAGTAGCTGGGACTACAGGCATGCGCCACCATACCTGGCTAATTTTTTCTATATATATATTTTAGTTGTCCAGCCAATTTCTTTCTATTTGTAGTAGAGACAGGGTCTCGCTCTTGCTCAGGCTGGTCTCGAACTCCTGAGTTCAAACGATCCTCCCACCTCAGCCTCCCAGGGTGCTAGGATTATAGGTGTGAGCCACCGCGCCTGCAATAGGCAGCTTTTTTGGGCTATGCATGGATATGAATCTGCCTTAATAATGAAATAATCTTCTCTGATCACCAAGATCCAGAGGTTTAGAACACTCCTTCCATATTGGTAGACACCATCTTGTTTTCCTCAGTCTTTCGTTCATTCCTTCAGTAAATGTTCATTGAGCCTCTGGTATGTGTTCTAAGCCCTGGGAATGGAACAGTAAACAAAGCAAACAAACATTTCTGTGCATTTATTTATTCAGTAAATACTTACTGAGCACCTACATTGTGCCAGACATTGTTCTAGCTGGAGAATGAGACACGTAAGGACTCCGTGTCATGAGGAGAAAAATAATAAATACACAAATAATTAGAATAATGTCAGGACAGTAGTAAGTGCTAAGACAAGCATAAAATGAGGAAAGTCCTCTGCAGATCTCTGAAACTCATTCTCTGTAGCACTCTGCTCTCCAGTACTCTGCCCTGTGGGTTCTAGCTGCCTTCACCTCCCCAAGCTGTCCAGCTCCATGTCTTCATCTCAGGATCCCTGGACTCTCTCTCGCTGTACTAAGGCCTGACAACTCTCCAGGCAGTAAGCTGGGGAAATCGCACGGCTCATTTCATTTGTTTTCCTTCTCTCAGGGATCACTGTTCTCTGCTGCTTGATGTCCAGTGTCTGAAAATTGTTGTTTATGTATTTTATTCAGTTTCTTAGTTGCCTAAGAGGGGAGAGGAAATCCATTCCCTCTTAACTCCATCTTGGCTAGAAGCGGAAAACCAGCAGAAAGGAGCGCTTAGAATGGTCCTCAGACTAACACAGGGCTGAGAACAGTGTATGTTCCCAACAGCCGGAGCAGAAACCTTATAACACGGGCCAGCAGGAAGAGTTTTCAGAAGGGGATTGCCTCAGCAGTGGAGCCACATTAGCCCTAGAATGAAGGCTACTCTGGACCCTACCTTACAAAACTCGGAAAAGTTAAACTTTTTCCAAGTAAATTGTATCCCAGAGTAAAGTCCAAAAACTTTTAAATGATTTAAATGAAAATGAAATTTACAGTGTCTGACGTCTAGTCAAATATTATCAGGCATACAAAGAAAGAGGATAATTTTACCCAGCATGAGGAGAAAAGGCAATCTAACAGAAGCAGACCCAGAAATGACACAGGTGATTGAATTAGACAAGGACATTAAAATTGCTATTATAAATAGACTCCATATATTTAAGAAAATAGAGGAAATCATGAGCATGTTAAGGAGAGACATGGATGATGTGGAAAATGTAACATAAAATGAGGCCATGTGATAGAAAGTTAGCAGGGTAGGCGTGGATAGGCACTGCCTTTATTAGGGCGGTCAGGGTCCCCTGTAAGGAGGTCATATTTGAGCTTACACCTATCTAGCCACAGGAAGGACATTTCAAGTCCCTGGGGCGGGAATAGTCTGGTCATGTTCTAGGAATGGATGAGGCTGTGGTGGCTAGAACACAGTGAGGAGGACGAGTTGTGTAAGGGGAGTCTCAGCAGGTATGTAGGACCTTGCAGGCTGTGACAAGGAGCCGGATGGACTTCCAGGTGTAATGGGAAAGTGCGGAGAGGCTCAAAGCCGGGGAGTGGAAGGACTGACTGTGTGGTGTTTTAAAAATATTACTTTGGTCGCTTTGCGGAAAAGAGGCTATGAGAGGCCAAGAGTGGAAGCCGAAAAGAAGTCTTAGAAAGTTCTTTCTCTATGTTATATGAGAGCCTAAGGACCATGGGAAGAATTAGGTGAGAATCTTTGTTTATGCCTCATAGCAAATGATGTGACTTTATCTATGTTATGGATATATTAAATCATGAAAGCTTTGAGGTTTTATAAAGACTGAGTCCTTCTTCGCATTTTTGGTTAACTTGGAAGAAGTTACTCAGTCCTGCACCCTTACTCCCAAGCCAACAGTCAGTAACTCAGAGGGTCATTTATGTAATTTCACAGTTCATTAGTTAGTGAGGTGTTAAGTAGTTAGTGAGGTGTTAAGTTTGTGGACAACAGCTTTCTTATTTTTTTCTTTTGTAATTCTTGGACATGTCTGAGGAATTCCTTAAAGTGCCATGATGAATTATTGCACAGTAGTTTTGCTTAAGTAAGTTAAAGTTCTACATTTACATGTTTGGGCTCAGTTACCTATTTACCTTTTGTGTCTTTCATATCCTTTGGGGCATTGACCAGGCATTGAAAGAAATATTGTGAAGGTCGTCGTTGAGTTTTGTTTTTTTTTTTTTTTTTTTGGTTTTAATACATTTAAGCAATGGGGTAACTTGTAAATGTACATAAACTCAGTCATAGCGACTGTTCCTCTAGGAGTTAAAGTCCACAATTGCTCATATTCAGGGTTTTTCTCTAGTTTATTCAACAGTTATGGAGTCAGCTGGGCAGCTGGCACTGTAGTGACAGAAATAAATAGAACATGCAGAGAGTTCTCCATCGGGGGGGCACTTGGTGGGAACGGGAGACAGATGAGAGGTATCTGATATGTTGGTGAGTGTTAGTTCCTGTTTGCTCCAGTTGATCATGATGTCATGTTTTTTCAAATGTCAGTGATAGTTCTTATCTTCCACCAAACATACTCTAGCTGATAATGAAAATCTTGCCCACAGAATTGAAGCAGAACAGAATGACTTGTGACTGTCGCCTCGTGCTTACGTTTCATTTCGTCCGTCTTCATTAACTTGTATAATGAGATATTAATAATCAGCTAAAAGTAGGTGGTGTGTGAGGTATGATTCCTCAGGCTTGCACAGCAAATTAATAGCATCCTTGTTCATATTCACTTGAATTTAAAACGTGCTGTTTCGGATTCATATACCTCTGTTGATCAGGGTATCATATTTTCATGATAAATACCTTCCCTATTTGGGTTGTCTTCATAAATTTCAGGGTAGTTTTTATATTTTGATGTGGGTAATTAAGGCCATATGTAAAAATAAATTGCCATTTATAAGTCTGTATATAGCCCACAGTATATTAATCAAGTGGGAAAAGAATTAGGGGTCGAATCTTCTCCCATTTGCTTGGTTTTTATAATATCCTGTGCTTGGGAGAAATCTGAGGCCTTTGTCTCTCTTCTGTCTGGCCTAACCCTCTTCGTTCTTTAATATCTGGTAGAAATTCTGCATCTTTCATGAAGCTTTACCCTTCCCAAATTTATAGTAGTTCCTCTCCTATTGGAATATCTTTGACATTGTCTATCTGTCACATAAGTTCAATAGCTTTGCCTTTAATAAGATGTTGAGGCCAGGACTGTGGCTGGCATGCCATTGGACCCACTGGTGGGAACTCAATAAATTGTTCTGCTCTGAACCTGAACAAATGGGCTGCATATTTGCGATTTTATAACTCATAGAGAAGGAGATGCCAGTGGTAGTAGCAATATTTGTTATTTTAGAAGTTCGCTGTTGAGTTGGACCCACTGTAACCTCTATGCCTCTGAACGGGCAAATCTTATTTTTTTCAAAATTGCACTTTTCTTTTAACTATGTATGTTGAGATCTTCCCATGCCTGGATTCAGTCACGTAATTCTCTTACTGTACAAAGTATTTCACTGTATGGAAAGATTGTAAATTCTTTAGTCCTTTAGACTAATTTTAACAAGAATAATTTAAAACTTCTAGCTTTAGGCCGGACGCAGTGGCTGACGCCTGTAATCCTAGCACTGTGGGAGGCCGAGGTGGGCGGATTGTTTGAGCTCAGGAGTTCAAGACCAGCCTGAGCAAGAGCGAGACCTCGTCTCTACTAAAAAAAAAAAATAGAAAG